CCGGAAAATCTAGACGAAAAGCAGTTAATAGTCCTGCATTTTTCCATGTACATACCATAGGTAGCGTACATTTATGCATTGTGCACCACGCGTCGGCAGCCACACTGCACACCGTACATGTACATCTGCACCAAACGCGCCTCGTGGCCGGTGTCGCGTGAAATCTGAACTTCAGTCATGGGCGTCGTACATGCACTCGCGCGCGTGTGTGTTTTCTCTGTGCCGTGTGCTAACTACGCTAGTGGGGCTCCATCTGCGAAGGTTACAATTTTATACTACACCATTGGCAGAACTTACAACATTGACCCCACACACGTTTTTGTTCATGGCGGTAGCCGTAGCCCTGTGTAACGGTATTAATGGCATCTACGACGGGAACGATATTGCTCGTTGCCATATGGTATAGGCCTCGGCTGTAAATTTGGCCCTTAACTGATTTTGACTGAATTTTATGTTAATAAATAATGTGTTCTGTTTCACTCTGTATGTACAGCATATGAGATACCAGTGCCGTATCAGGCATTCCCAGTGGTGTTTTTGGCTGGTGTCCTGCTGTGGACATTCTTAGAGTACATCCTTCATCGTTTCTTGTTCCACATGGAACCTCCGACGAACTCCAAGTTCCTGATTGGCCTTCACTTCATCTTACATGGGCAACACCATAAGGTATACTTCTAATCACAGAACTTATGCAGATGTGTTGAGTTAAAGAATGTTTACATTCAATCAAAGGTTGAATAGTCCAATACCAGTTGAAATGTTGTGATAATAACGTCTAGTTTGGTATGCAACTTGTTTTGTCATCTTTTGTCATCTTTACTGTGCATCAAGGTTTTTTTTACCCTCGGATAACTCGTTATCCCTCTTGTGCTTGCGGAACATAAGAAATGCAATGTGTCTGCATCTCACATACCACTCAGCCCTCTGCCTTATAGACACATGTGTAGCCTGCTTTTGAGTTAATCAGCTTTCACCCATGACCTAATCTATCCCTTGTGACACGTACGGAAGATGATTGGGAACTTTTGAATCCTCTCATTTAGTTTTCTGTGGAACATTCGGAATACAGGCGTGCATTTGTTTTGTATGTACTGAGTGCAATAACATGAGAAAATCTATGTTTATTTGATAGCCCTCTGTGTTTGCAGGTGTTTGGGGAACTGGGTACCCATTTCCATAAAGATTGGATACCCAGGTACCCTTAAAATTGAAGAGAATAGATAAATAGCCATCCCATACCATCAATAACACCCATCCATTGGCATTGGCACTGGAGTGGATAGAAGGTGACGAAAGTCAGTGTCTACCTATCATCTGAAATGACTTGAAAAATCTTTTAAGGGTATTTACATGTAAGTCAAGCCAGCGCATTCTTCAAGAGTTAATGTTGGATAACTGGGCTTACTTCTTTTCCATTTAAAAAATTCATTTCTGTCATGGAAAATTATTAATGTTGATTTTTTCCAAACTTTCCATTGTCTTCAGCTTTGTAAAGCCATATCGGTACTTTTTGTGGCTGTTCAAAAATCAAATCTCATGAGCTTTTCTGTGTGTTCATGTAAAATCCCGATGAGGAGGTGATGTGTGATCCTGTTCTGTGAACAGTGTTCTTGGGTCATGTTCCCACCGTTCGAGCACGAGAACACGAAACCCGTGTCAATAACGGACCGCCCGAACTCACGCAGACTATACCAGTTTTTACTTTCATCTTGACAAGTCCAAATCACATTTGCTTTAGACCTGGGAGCTATTAGTGACTGTTTTTGCTACGGGATAAGGTTCTTCTTCACCTGACTGTTAAGATACAGTGTAGTTATTGAAAAGATTTTTCCACTTGGCTTGACAGTGCTACGTTTACAGAATGGAAGCTCAAAAGTGAAGTTTTGCAGCTCACTCATAAATATTACCATATATGCTGAAAATTGTGCAAGTTTGACATTACAATATTGCAGTTGATCACAGCACCATGCGCCACCAACAGGGTGTCTTTTAGCTACGACAGAGACGTATGAAGAATTGGTGGATTCTTCTGCAAGTGTGCCTTAACCCTAACCCCCTAGGCTCCTGCACTAGAAAGCATACTGAACCTCAC